CGGGTGACCAGTTATCATTATGTTGTATCACCTTTGTCCTCCATACTTGCTGTTTTCTAATTGCTTTTGTCTTTTTATTCTCTGTGTCATGTATTTATCTCAAGCAACATAATTACTTTTATTATTATTGTTATTATAACATTATTATTAATTTTTTCTTTAATGTCTGTCCTTTGCTGTTTCTATTTTATGAATGTCCTACACTGGCATCATTTTGGTCCTTAATTTATTTCCTTTGCTTTGCAATCTCATTTTCCTTTTCTTTTGTTGTTTTGTGATCTTGTCTGTGAGCCTTCATTTTACTGAATTTATGTTCTAATTATGATCTTGTGTTAACTTATTTTGTAGTGTAATGCATTCATCGAGAATTTTCTTCTGTTCCTTGGATTATATTTTCTTCAAGACTGGATTCTTCTTCCTTATGTTGTGCTTTTTATTTCTACCTCACTTTTTATTTCTGCCATACTTTTCTTCTTGCTCATCCTCTGCATCAGTAACACTGTTCTGACCATTTATTTATTCTCATATGTATTGGAATATTATCCTTGATTTCTCTCCCAACTCTTCTTAGACATGTGTTTCTTTCTTTCTAAACTACAGTTTGAATTGGATTTTATGCATGGAAGGAGCCAAGGGAAAGAACTGCATGGAGCTATATACAGCCTTTGTTATAAGAATTTGGCTTCCCTAACTTTTGAAATGTTGTTAAATGTCCCCAGCCAAGATTTTCTTTTCCTAATTTGGGGGCCACTTTTTTCCCACTGCAGCTACTCCCTCAATGAATATTGTTCCAGTAATTTAGCCTCTAGTTCTAGAACCTATACTGTTCATCAGAGTGTCATCCTCAGTTGCTTATTGTCCAGGTATTACTCATCTTTCTTCAGCAAACATTTCCAGTCCCTCCCAGTCAAAAGAAAAAAAAAGGGGGGAAAGATAAAGATATTCCTGTTTCTTTCCAAATATTTGGATGGTATGTGGGAGGGTTTGCAGTGTTTGGACAATTCACCAGTCCCAATACTGCTAAGCAGAGGTTGGAAGTGGTGCAGAAGAGGGGTTGGAAGCTGTGTTGGAATCTTCTGTCTCCTTCTTTAGTTGCCTCTTTTAAGTTTATGCCACAAGCATGTACTTCTTTCCTGTTTAAATGATGCTGGTGAAGTTTTTGCTGATTTTTTAAGTAGATTGTGTTTTTGTTTATATTGCTAATTAATTTTATTTATAATATTTATAATTATTAATAATACTGATGAGGAAGGCTATGGTCCGGTACAATTTCTTTCTTTTCAAATTTACTTCTTAATTTTTTCCCTTCCAAACACCCTACGTGTACAGCATTTCAGCATTATCATCTTTCTAGCCTCATTTAAAACTGCTTTCTTGAGTTGACCATGACTTCTTTCTTCTCAGTTTTTACCCTGTCAACACTGTCCTTGCTTCAACATTTTGATTATTTGTTTTACGTCTCCTCTCTCCCTCCTCCAGTTATTCAGAAAACATCTGTCAGCATTGCTTATACTGGGTAATTATCAAGCCAACGCCAGTTTATCCAGTAGAATATATATGCACCTGCTTTTTATTGAATACTTTTACCAGGACTAAAAAATAATGACCAAATTATCCATATGCCAAAATAAGTATAGTTTTCTTTTTAATCCTAAAGCTTAATTTACCTGCTTAACATATAGATTATTAGGAGATTAGGAAATGAAAACAGAAATTCCTAAAGAATGGATTTTTTTGACTGGAATATGGGCTTGTAACAATTGCCAGGGATATAGATAAAATTTCATTTCAGCCCACTGTCAAAACAGCAGGGTTTTTGTTTTTGTTGTTTAATTTTTTTCAGGCATAGCACAGAAGTAACATTTGTTGCTAGCAGGCTTTGTCCATGATCCTAGATCAATGTCTGTGCCCTAGATCCTGTCAGTGATCTTAGAATTAGCCTTGAAGGAAAGTCCTCCTTGTTCAATTAAGATTTCTAAGTTACCTTTATAAAAGTGCCAACATGCTGAAAGGAAGAGTGAAGATGGATGAAATAATTGAAAAGAGGTGGTTAGGGAAGGAATAATCATGAGAGACATATTTTTTTAAATTCTATTGTTATGGAGAATGGGAAAGAGCTTCTATGATGAGTCCACTACCAGGGTATATGCCGATTTACAAAGAAAAAAAAGAAAGAGGGGGTGGAGGAGAAAGGAAGGAAGGAAGGATGGGGGGAGGAAGGGAAGTGAAAACTAGCATTTTGAGGTTAAAATTTAGGTCTATGAAAGGGGTAAGAAGGGCTAACTGGGCTGATTCTACTGATAGATGGTATCCAGTGGCTGCCTGGATGAGACCAAGTATCTTCTTGGATTGGATGGAACCTAAGACAGGAGAAGAACACCTAGCACTGTAAACAAACATGCATATATCCTGTGGAAATACAGGCATTATGACTTACATGTGTTCAAGGTGTTGGGTTTTTGTGACCCACGGTGGTCCCCTAGACCTGTTGTCCCCAGCATTGGTTGGCAACCTCCAGCTAGCTGCTTTGTACCCTTCAGTGTTAGCTCTCATGCAGAAGGACGCTAGTGACCACCCGCTAGGAGGCGGGACAGGTATCTTTATTAAAAATGAAGCAGAATTTCTTGGGGATCTCCTGTACTTTCCCTGTAAGTACAGAATTCACCAAAAATTCTGGAACATTGTGCTCTGCAGTCCTGTAAAGAAAGTTGCAGTTGTAACTGGAAAATGCAAAAGGGCAGAATTAACGTTAACTCTGCATACCCTGCTTCTCATGCAATTAAATTCTCCCCCTTGCCATTGAGTTAATGTAATCCTCCCCCCATGACTGAGCATAAATTACTGGACAAATATGGAGTAAGGCGATATTGGCTCTAAATAGATAATGAAGTGATATTAGTAAGAAATTATACAATACTTGGATTTCTTAAGAGGCAAGAATACTGCCATTCAGCCAATGAAATATCTGCAAACTAATTTATTAATAAATCATGATAAATTAATTTCTAATTCCACCTTTTTACAAAATAATTATAAAAATAAAAATAATGATTTTAAGAACCTCAACCAAAAATAATTCTTCACATTCTAAATATTGCTTCTGCTTCCTTAGGTAGTATTCTCCATATACTGTATCCATGCAGGTGCAAGGAAAGAATTCAGATGTGAGGCATCATTCCATTTGGGGTTGTCCCCTTTCATTTTGACTGCAGGATCCGTGCTTTTATTATTAGCTGGTATTCTTTGTGTCATTTATTTTGGGTGAAGCAGCAATAGATGGTAAAGTCTTAGAAGGAGAGCAGAGGTTGCAAGAAGTAAATTTTTCATTACTGCCCTCAATACGGAGACTTTACTTTTGGAAGCAATGTACCTAAGCACCCAAAAACACATAGGAAGGGATGGCTGGCTTTGCCAGTGTAGTGATGGCTGTGCTAGTGCGATGATAGGAAAAGAACACCTCATCATACAAATTGTTTGCAGATTTCCACGCCTCTGTGATCCATCTGTTTGTAATCTGAAGCTCTTCGGGCTGCTTCCATCTCACACTCTGAGTTAATGAGTCTCATCAGAGCCCCACTCTGCCCCTGGATCTGCAGGCTTGGCTCTGGGGTGGGGGTGAGGGTGGGGGCGGGGCTTCCAGCTGGAGGTCCATTCATTTGGCAGTGTCACAGTTGGTCATCTGAGCTTACCCACATGTGCTCGTTTGAAAGAACCTATTTGAAATGATTTTCAGTTTATTAAAAGAAAAACCTCAAGTGTAGATCCCAAGAAAGTTCAATGTTGTTCTTATTTGTTTCATGTTCTATATTGTTTCAGAATGTATCATACCAAATCTTCAGATGAGGGAGGGTTAACACTAATTTAGCAAATAAAAATGCACAACACCCAGTTAAATTTGAGTTTCAGATAAACACCCAGTTAAATTTGCACAACACCCAGTTAAATTTGAGTTTCAGATGAACGACAAATAATTTTTTTAGCGGTAAGTATGCCCCCAATTTAACTGAGTGTCCTATATTTTACCTGAGAAACCTAGTTGAGACCAAATCAAGATTCCAGAATTAGATGGACTGAAAAGATTGGTCATAATATTCAAGGTTCAAATTCAATATAAATGTGATTTGAACATTCATATGTGAATTTATTTAAGCCTTATGGTATTGTGCTTATGTTTTAAAAGAGTCCTTATAGAGACATTTACTAATACAGTGATTGATGAAATTAGATAATGTTTGAGATTCACTTCTAAATAATGCAAGAGGCAGGTAGGTGAATGGGGCAGATTGGCTATGGGTTGATGGGTACATGAAGGTTAATTATACTCTTTTGTTTACTTTTGAATCTGTTTGAAGTTTTCTGTAGTAAAAAAAGCAATGGGTGCATATAAGTCATGTCTTTAGGTTTAAAATATTTATTATTGAAACTTCCTAAATGTCAGAGAGTGGAGGGCTCACAGTGGCACTAGGATAGGTTGCAGATGGAGGTAGGGAACTTTGAACCATTTTGCATTGTGACATCTTTGTTCCTCCACTGGGATATTAATCACCTTAATGTTTGTCTTTATCTTGCCATAGAGCAATGGAAGAAAGTTGCAAGTTAGTTGCTAACTTGTCAGTTTGAGGTTGTTCAGTATATAACAGGATATCTAGGGAAAGCTCATGGAGAGAGCTTGGTTAAGTAGAGAGGGACAGTGCTTTATGCTATGGACAGCATTTTGAAAATAGTTAAAACACAAAATGAAATAAACCATTGGTTTAGGTCAAAATAACAAACATTAGATTCTTTAATTTGTTTGTGGCTTTTACAAAACAAATTTCTTAAGCTGACTGGATTGAAGTCTGGTAAATTAATAAATTGGGTATATGGTCTAATAATTCTGCATGGGCCTAGCTTCTCTAGCAGGTAGCTATCAGCAGCTGGGAACGCTCCACCTCTGGCACGACTCCTGGCAGTTATTCATCGACGGACTTCTTTAATGGTTTGCTTTTTTCTTATTCCAGGATTTCCTTCAAATGCTGTTGGAGAACATCCCAGAAGAAAAAAGGTGAGGGCCAATTTAGGAATTAAGAACCTGGTTTTACTTTTAATGTTTAAAATCACCCTGCCATCGTTTGGCTTATTAAACCAAGAAAGGTCAATCTTCCTCTCTTATTAGAGGCAGGGACCTAGCCCAGCCAGCAGGAGTCCTAGGAGGATCAACCAAACTTAGAAATGGGCCCACGTGGATACTGGAAGCTAGTGGGCACTGCAGGGAGGTCCAGAGTCAGGAGCCCGCGAAGTAGTATATGAGGGAAGCCAAGGACACTGTGCGGCCTCGGCTGCTGTGGAAAAGAATGGAAGAGAGGAATGTTCTAAAAGTTAGGATGGCTGTAGTTAACATGACTTAATATAAGGAAACATTGTTTTATTGAAGGTGGAAATATTGGATAGTAATAAGAGCGTAGGATTTGAAGTCAGACTCTTCAAGGTTCTAACCCCTGCTCTGCCGCTTCCCATCTCTGTAGCATTTGGAGCAGGTCACTTCATCCCTCCAAATTCCAGTTTTCTACCCTGTCTGGCAGGGTTTCACAGAGTGTTAAATGTGATAATACATATGAAAAGTGGGTGCTTAATTAATGATAGATACGGTTATAACAATAATCAGCTTCTGTTCATTAGGCACATATTCAGGATCCGTCTATAGGAAATCCATTTGATCCTCATTACAGCATTTATCCTTTTTCTTTTCTTCTCTTTCTTCATCACCATTACCATCATCATTGTGATTATTGTAAGCTAACACTTCTTTTGAGGCTACTATATGCAGGCACTCAGTTAAATCTTTCAAACAACACTATCTGGTACATTGTGTGTTTAGCCCTGTTTTACCAGTAAGAGGACTGAGTTTCCAAAGGGATGTCAGAGCTCTGTGTAGAAGGGTGGGATTTGCTTCTGGGAAGCCTGGCTCTGGAACCTCTGCTTTTATCCACAGTGTTCCATGGGTTAAGTAACTTTCTGAGATCCCTTAGGTAGCAAGGGAGCCAACGCAAATTGGAATGAAGTCCTTCTGGCTGTCACACATGCTTTTTGCCGTTTGAGCTCGCTCTGCAAAGAAAGGAAACCCTCTTCCTTGGAGATGTATAGTTTTTGTCTGGCTAACCGCCTACAGGGATTCATCAAAGTTTGGATTAGATTCATTCCAACCTTTCCTTCTAATTTCCTATCTTAATTTAGGCACTAAAATGAACACCCTGAAACATAATTTCTAATAGTAAGATTGGTATTCAAATGTTAAAGGGGGCATCTTGAGAAATTAAACATTTCTTTCAAAAAGAGCCAAAATTACTCTCCTTTCTGTCCCACAGTTTTAGCCATGTTTTTATGCCCAGAACAGATTTCCAAATGTGGAAATGAATTCTTTCACGCAGACATTGACTTCGATCTGTGCAGGGCCAGACACCTCTGTGCCAATGAGCCTGTGTTGTAGGCAGCCTAATTCAGGGGTCTTACAGGTGAGGTGTCAAGGCTTATGCTACCAGGAGATGACATAAAATTTAATGGGTAGGGGAATCCAGGGGCCATGAGGATGTGGAGATTTTTTTCTTCATCTTCTACCTTCTACCTCCAATTCTTGGTTCAATAGTTAGAAATGATATTGTTCAGCTTAAAAAAAAATCAGATGGGAACACACATGTAAAGCAAATTGGTACATCACACAGAATTAACATAGCCATACTATTTGTTAACTTCCTTAATTTCTACCTTTTTCTGTTCATGCCTTTGATGCTGAAGGAAGTCCTGTCCTTCATTGCATGGAACTGTAGTCATTGGCCAAGATAATTAGCCTTTTAAGGAGGTCGCTCAAAGGAAGTGTGGCTTGTTTTAGAAGGTCTGAAAAGTTTCAGATTTACCATCTTTTCAAAGAGAAGTATAGGTTTTCTTCATGCAAAAATCACATTACCTGTGGTAATCATTCTTTAAGTCAAGAACAATAGTTTATTTGCATGATTTTTTTTTCTTTCCCTTTTGTATCTGCCCTGGAATGACTTTTTGGGTCCTGTAGTGGAATGGAGTGCTTTCCTTAGGAACTAATGCAGAAGAAAAAAAAAAGGAAGAAGAAGAAGAAGAAAACTAATAGAAATAGTGCAATTACCTCCTGTTACCAAAGTCTGTTTCTGAGAAATACCGTGCTTTCTTTCAGAAGAACCTCTTAGCACACAAATATAGTAGTTTTCATGGAAGCAACAAAGTACATTTTTAGTTTGGGAAGTCTTCTTTCTTTTTATCCCTTCTGAATAAGGTTATGGAGTTCATTTGGGTGTCCCTGAGCCCTCTTGTTGTGGGGAACCTGGATTTTATCATTCTGAATATTTATTGAGGTGACACACTGTGGGCCCACAAAAAGGCAGCATTTTTGTGATTGTGGATTGTGGGAGGGCAGCATCTCTGTTTAATGGTGGCCACCATGAACCTTCTTCCCTGTTTGGGAAGATATCTCTCCCAGTTAGGATTATGTTTTGGCTAGCAGATTTAAGGTGATTTTGAGAACTCCTTCTTAGTTCTGGCCATTGTGGCTTGGTTGGTTGGAGCGTTGTCTTGTAGCTGAAGGGTTGTGGGTTCGATTCTCCATCAGGGCACACACCTGGGCTGTGAGATGATCCCAGGTCCAGGGGTGTGCACATGAGACCCCCAGTCAGATGTGTGCAACCTCTAATATGGACATATATGTTCCCTGGCTGGGTGCCGATCCCCGGTCCAGGTGGGTATGGGAGACAACCAATCAATGCTTCTCTCTCTCATTGATGTTTCTCTCTTTCCCTTCCTCTCTCTCTAAAAGCAATGAAGAAAATGTCCTCAGGTCAGGATAAAAAATAATAAAAATAAAAATTCTCCTTAAAAATGAAGATAATTTCATAACTACAGTGAACCTATTTCAGCAAGTGTATGGGGATATTTTTTGAAACTCAAACATCTTTCCTGCTATCTCCTTTCTGGATCTAATTCAGCAATTGAAACAGACTGTTTACCTTCTACCTCTGCAGCATATTGTACCAATTTTATCTAGGTCTGCAAAGGCCTCACACATATCCCCAGAGTATCTAATCTTTGGTCCTTTTGCAAAATGATCCTCAGGCACATCCATTAGGCACGTGGGCCATTCTAAACAGGGCAAGGTTTTTCAGATTTAACCAGCCAGTTAGTGTTCAGGGGCTGGCATCCTCCATCATACTGCTTTTGCATTGTTCTCTTGCTTTGATTAATATTGACATTCTCTACTGAGCACCCCCCATACCCAGCTTTAGGCTGGACACTGGACAGCAGAAGGGAATAAATTCTATGCCTAGCCCCTAGGAAGCTCTTAGGTGACTGCTGAAGACATACATGAAACAGATCATTGTGACTCAGTGTATGAAGTGCTCTGGGGAGCATCACAGTCCTGGGTACACAGAGAAAGGTCTCATCAGTCCTAGCCTTCACGCTTCAGGCAAAGAAGTACCACTAAAGGCTTTAAGTAGAGGAGTTGCCATCAGCAGATAGGGAAGTTACTCTGGGATGGGGGCAGCATGGGAGATCGATGTGGGTGGAAGAAAGAGAAGTCAGGAGGCCAGTTAGAAACCAGGACAACAGTTCAGTCAAGATATCTAGAGCTGGACCCAGGGCAGGAATGGTAGTGGTGGCACTGGAGTTGGAGAGTAATGAGCAATTTGAGAGGTTCCAGAGACAAGACTTGGGTGATGGGTTGTGTACTTTGAATGGAGGAATCCAGCATGAGCCTGACCTTTTATTTTGCCCAGTCACTCTGAAGTCACGCTGGATGTACAGGGTCCCTGTTTTGTCTGGGGAGTCAGTGTGATGCAGCGGGAGCAGAGGGGACAGTGTTTGAAAGTGGAAGCAGGGAGACAAGGAGTTGCATTTTAGACGTTGTCAGTGAGAGGTTTCTGTTTAAATGCTGATGTTTAAGAGAGAGAAGGAAGGAAAAGCTGGAGTGCTCAGAGGGAAATCTGGTTAAATCCTGGGCCCTGGCCTGCTGTGTGAAAGGACACCCTGGAAAATACCTTCCCCGATGTATCCTGCCACTGGTGTTCCAACAATATCGACAGCTACCAGTTCTGTCTTTGCTCATCAATTATTGTGCTTGTGTGTGCATGTTCACGTGTTGATTTTAACTCAGTACTTTTCCTCCCCCACAGAACTAGGGAGTATTTGTTTCATAAATATTAAGTCAGCAGTCTTCACTCTCTAACCAAGTACAAATGACTTCTTTTGATCAAGAAAATAAATAACCATGTGTAAAGCTTTGAGGTGTACCCTATTTGTATCCACATTTAGACAGAGCTCTTAAAATTTAAAACCTGTACAAAAGGTAAGTTACATTCCAGAACATGAGCATCTTCCATTTCAGACCCGAGCATCGGAGTTCCTAAACCTTGCCTCCATCCAGTCCCTGCACTCCTGAGGGTCTCTCCATCTATCCTTTAGTCTGTGTTGAAGTGGCTGGGCCGTGTGCTTTCCTTCAGAGACATGGATAGAACAGGATCTTTTTCTTTTTTTAAACACTTGTTACTTTCTTTTTCTTCTTTTTAAAGATTTTATTTATTTATTTTTAAAGAGAGGGGAAAGGAGGGAGAAAGAGAGGGAGAGAAACATAGATGTGCGATTCCCTCTCACACACGCCCTATCAGGGACCTGGCCCACAACTCAGGCAGGTGCCCTGACTGGAAATCGAATTGGCGACCCTTTGGTTCTCAGGGCTACACTCAATCCACTGAGCCACACCAGCCAGGGCACAACATGAGCTCTAGAATCTCAAGAGGCTGAGGACAGGAGTAAAGAGTGATAAAGACATTTCTCCTGATCAACAAGTTGATAGGCACAGAAAGAGATGTGGCTGATACTCAACTCCTGATCCCTCTCAATCCAGCCTCAGAACTCTATTGAACAAACAACATGGCACATGCAGTGCCATTTTCACATAAGCCTGGGTCTGTTTCTTTGTACTTGAACATCATGAAGAGAAGAGCAGTTGCTCACTTTGTGGCTTCTAACAGCCTCATGCCAGGGCAT